GCTTTTTTAAAATTTTCTTGAATAAAAGAATAAAATAATAATAACTTATTTAAATTTTCTTGAATAGTTCAAAGGCTTTTTTAACATTATACCAAAAAAACAGAAAGAGTGGGGAGCTTCTTGCTAGATTGATTGGTTTCTTTGTATTCTTTATTTCTGATGAAAGGTTTCTCTATCATGCTTTCCCCTTCCTGATGTTGGTCGAACTTGTTACACCAACCAGCTATTATTATTATAAAAAATTTACGTTCAAAATTGGACTTTGCCAATATTCATCGAATTAGGCTTCTATAGCATATTCGAGTTTGAATAGGTTGTTAGTATGTTTTTCTCTGCTAATTCCCCCAACTCATTTGCCATCATAATTATTATAATGCTGATGGTAAAAATTGGGAAGACTGTATTGGTAATTTTGTTTAAGTAGAGAAGTTTGTTTGGATACTGCTACTGAATTTGATTTTTCCTCCCCACAACTTTCTGTTCATACTTTCTTTCAGGCAAAGGCTTTAGAATGCTTATGCATGAAGGAGATGAGCCGAAGAAAAGAGCTGGAGGAATTGCTTGAAAGAGAAAAGCAAGAAGTACAAAAGATGAAGGATCAGCGTGATGAACTTATGAAAGAACTCCAGGTGGTTAAGGACCAGAGGAAAGTACTTGAGAGCCAAATTGCTGATTCCCAATGCACAGTGGAGGAGTTGGACGAGAAGTTCTTCTCAGCTGTGGAACTTTTAATTAGTTTTAAGAAAAAGAGGGATGACATGCAGATAGAGCATGGTAATGCCATAAGATTATTGAAAGATTTAAGGAAATTGGTTAATGGTGAAAATGCAACCTTTCCAGGGACACAAATCCTTGAATTTTCTTTCATGGAGATTAATAATGCCACTCGCAACTTTGATCCATCCTGGAAGATTGGAGAAGGAAAATATGGAAGTGTATATAAGGGTCTCCTTCGCCATGTGCATGTTGCTATAAAAATGTTGCCCTCGTATGGCTGTCAAAGCCTCTTGGAATTTGAGAATGAGGTAAACTTTATCCAAAGATCTCCGCATGTCTACAGTATTGTAATTTTCATTTTCAAGTCTCCATCTAGAATCATCGACGTAAGATATATATGATGGACTAGTGGCTTACAACTAGGATTATCACAGTAGAAAACATGAATGTAAAAGCTTCTTCATGGAGGAATTACTCTTTGGCGTCATTCACTTAAATTAGCAGTATTGAAGTGTGCTTTGTGATGCTACACCTTGACTAATACTCTAGAAATATGATACTACTGATCACTGACTTGCTGCTTCAACACCGAAATATGTTTTGAGTATATTATTTGAATTTATTTTTATATCAGACTAAGATTGAAGGGTTTCTTTAAAAGCAATCAACTGTTGTATGCTTACCCTATCAGGTGCTAGATTTTTTTTTTTTTGGATTAAGAAATCTGAGGTCCTCCTTGAAAGTAGTCTGACATATTGATGTGGCATTGCTCATAATATTATATTCTTAAGCTGCCTGTGTCTTTTATTTAAAAAAGTTGTTTCCTGAGACAAATTAGATATCTGTTACCTTCCAAAACTATGGAATTTTTGTGATGATGGTTTATTTTCTGATCAATGGGTTTCAGGTAGAGATTTTAAGTCGGGTGCGACATCCAAATCTGATCATGATAATTGGAACTTGCCCAGAATCTAGGTCCCTTGTCTTTGAGTACCTCAGAAACGGCAGCCTAGAAGACCGCCTTGCCTGCAAAAATAACACTCCGCCTCTTCCATGGCAAACTCGAACTCGCATTGCTTCTGAGATATGCTCTGCCCTTATCTTCCTTCACTCTAATAAGCCTTGTATTCCCCATGGGAACTTAAAACCCTCTAAAGTCCTTCTTGATGCCAATTTTGTATCCAAGCTCAGTGATAGTGGCATCTATCGCTTGATCCCACAAGGTGAAAGGACAGATATTTCTGCTTCATCATGTACTAAATCTAACCCTAAGGTTGCCTCTGTATATATGGATCCGGAGTGTCTTGAGAACGGAAAAGTTACTCGAGAATCTGATGTGTACTCATTGGGATGCTACTCTTACGACTGTTGACTGGGAGACCAGCTTTGGGGCTCTTGAAAGATGTAAAATGTGCAATAGAGACAGAAAACTTTAACACGGTGTTGGATTGGTCAGCTGGGGACTGGCCACTTGCAGAAGCCCAGCTCTTGGCTCACTTGGCATTAAGGTGTTGTGAAAAGCTGCCATTGAATCGACCCGACCTTGTGTCAGAAATATGGAGTGTGCTTGGGCCAATGAGTGAATCATGTATCAACTCAGCATCATGCTTTGGAGCTAAGGAGCGCTGTCGGATCCCTTCTCATTTTGTCTGCCCCATTTTTCAGGTAAACAATCAAGCACATTTCTTGCCATACATGTTTGCACTGGACCAGTAAGAGTGCTGGCATGCTTTTGTGCTTTTGATTAAGTTGTTGGGAATAACTTTGTTACTTTGTGGTAGAACTTTTGCCCGTGATGTGTGAAGTAACTTCAAAAGGAGTTGTAGTGCTAGGAAGCTGTGTTTGATTTAGTGAATCCCTTGTATGACTTGAACATGTGAATCAGTATGTTGACATAGCTTTTCCTCTTTAATAATTCTAATGATCATATTTTGTGTTAAGCATGTTTGAAAGAACCTCCCTTCTCACTTATTCTAGCAAATATAGTTTTCTTTTAATCTTCTTCTCACCTCTAAAAAATTTTTTTTTAATGTCATTCTTATTACCATGATGGTAATGTGCAGGAGGTCATGGAAGATCCACTCATAGCAGCAGATGGCTTCACATATGAAGCAGATGCTATTAGAGGATGGTTGGAAAGTGGCCATGACAGATCACCAATGACAAATCTTAAGCTTGAACACTGCAGTCTGGTCCCTAATTATGCTCTTCATCAAGCAATTCAAGAGTGGCAACAACGATGGTGATATATATCTTGTATTCATTTTCTGTACATCTGCCTATATATTTACCATATCAATCCAACCTTCGTAAGTATTCAACCACCAGAACCGATTAAACTACATGCTCATACTCTCATGTACAGCTCCAGGGATTTCAGTGCCGCTCTGAATCAGAAGTTTCATTCTGTCCATTCTTTTTACAAATGTTTCAGTTTTGACCAGGACCGGGATGCTTGTACAGTTTTTGACTCTCATTTAGAGGGAAGTTGAAGGATGGACGTGATTGCTCCAATTGAGGTTCAACTCAATTGGAATGTTTTGAAGGTCACAGTTGAAACTTCATGCAAAAAGTAACAGTGGAATGTTGCCCAAGTGATGCAAGGGCGCCTTTTTTTTTTTTTTTAATTTTTTTAAAAAGGATAATAATTTAAGAAATGCTCTGTGTACAATACAGTGTTGTTGTTACGACACTTGACTGTTGTTTAAGTCGGTGCCTTTTCTGATCACGAAGACCATCTGAGACTGGGATATATTAGAATGATATCATATAACGTTACAGCTATTATTATGCAAAAGCTTATTATGATGGAGTTATAAAAACATGATTAACGAGAATGAATACCTTCGAGATCCTTCATAATTATATTATTATAATGATTAAAAGGGACTAGAATGCTTTTCCATATATGTAGCTAATTAATTCATGATACTGAGAACCTTTATTATAGAAATAGTAAAATGAAAACTTATATGTAGATACAGATACATACAATATTAAAATCTCGTTTGGCACAATGACGAGATTTAGTGGGGAATTTCTCACCGCAGTCAAGCCACGGTTGCCTGTCAAAATTAACCGGATCGTTAAACGCGGCTTAAAAGAGGTTAAGTCGGAGGAGTGTCGCAGGGGGGAAATTTTTTGGATGAATTCAAGGAAAATTAATTATTTTTCCGAGCAGACCTGAAAAGTCCAACAGTCAGAGTGTAGATTTTGGGCCTTCCGTTCGAGAAGGGAAAGAGAATTCGGCTTGGGCATTTACAATTGGCCTTCCGTCATTTGTCTAGCGTGCCATGCACGTCCCTCAACATCGCGTTGCGACAAAAATCTCCCACGTCAAAAGCAAGTACGTGTACATTTTTATTTTCTGTTTTCTTTTTTTTGTTGTAATTTTCCTGCTAGAGAGGGTTCCGGTTTCGCCTTTAAAATTTATATATTTTTTTCTCTTACATTCGCTTCCTCGAACCTCTCTCTTTCTTCCGCAACAATTTTCTCGGCAGATCACTACTTCGCTTTTACTCGGTGATTTTGCCTCCCGCCAAACACTCCGCAATCCCCCTCCCCCTCGACTCTAAATCCTTGCGATCGCTAAAGATTCTGTCTCAACTTAAACCGATCTCTCCCTCTCACTCACTCATTCACTGGTACGTTAACCGATCATTTCACTCACTCTTTCTCATATATTATTTTTATTTTTTTACATTCAATAACATGCCTTGATCGCAGATCACGTGAGTTGGTGCCCTAACCACTTTTTTTTGTTTAATTCGTTTATTTATTTATTTATTTATTTTTATGGATTTTAATTGTTACTCTATGTCGAAGCTGTGAAAGGAACTGGAACTAGGAAGTCGGAATTTGAATTTGACGTTCCGTGAAGAATGAAAAATGGCCAATACTAAGTTCAATGGTTATATTTTGGCTTAGTAAAAGGAGCCAGTAAAAGGAAGTTTTGGAAATACGTTTATTTTTGCTGCTAATGGAAAATGAAGGTTCGATAAGCTAATTTTTTTGTTTGTATAAATAACTTTAAGAGGACTCTGTTCTTCTGCGATCTTTTATTATCTTTGTTATTTAGTTTTGATCTGGTCAATCTTTTTATCTTTTTTTGTAACTAAAATTCACATGTCTGCTACTGGCCTATGGATTTTAATGTTAATATGTAGGTTAACTATTT